ACCGGTCCTGCCGCCCTGTTTCCCTAGTATCCTGGATCCCTCGCATGCACTGTGTCTGCAGTCTGGTCTGAATGGCTGGGGCTGGGTGTTCAGCAGTCCTGGGGTCCTTCTCCCTCCTGAATCCTCTCCTGCTGGGAGCTGCAGGGAGGGGCTTTTGGGTCCTGCCGGGCCGGGCCTTGTATCTTACCCCTTTCATGAGGTGCTGGGTTCTTGCAGGTGTGGATGTGGTCTGGATATTGTCCTGTGTCCTCTGGTCTCTATTTTAGGAAGAGCTGTCTTTGTTATATTTTCATAGGTATGTGTGGTTTTGGGAGGAGATTGCTGCTGCTCTCCTCACGCCGCCATCTTGGCTACCTCTCGTCTCACATTTATTTTTAATTTCTACGTTCTAAACCAACTCTTCTTAACCAATGATTTCTGATATGCTGGTGTAGAAGATGGGAAAGAGGGAGGCATTAGTCTTACATTACTGCCAAGTTCCTTTTGGTTCCCTTATAACCCCCTACACATTTGTAAATAGCCTATTTGTAAATAAACTTTTCTCAAATTAGAATTCTTTGTTTCCTCTTGGGACCCTTACTGATACACAATACACAGTGACCACTGTGTCACATCACAATTTGTCCAGTTTAGTTTGTTCAAAACTAAGATGTGGTCATTTTATCAAAGTGTTCACTTTCGCACCTGCCAGGGTTTTACGTCTTCTTGCTCTCCTTCATTCTTCATTCAAATTGGTATGTTTCTTTGATCTTCTGTGTTGTTTGAATTTCAAATACAGATGCAATCGCTGTTTCTTTTCCTTACAGTCTAAAACACCAATCCAGAAATATCCAGTGAACTGGGCTATGCAATGTGGAATACCCCTATTTTCTAAACTAGTTATTTCTAAGTGCCCTCAGACCAAAGCAAGTTGTAAGGCCTGCTTTGTGTGTTTTGTTCTAATGCTCAAATACGTATTTCTGATCTTGTCAGATTCTGGCTCCATACAAGTAAGGGGAAGAGAGCTGTACCCATCTGGAATGACTTTGTAATCATTTTTGTTTGAGAATAAACAGGGACATGAGGGGCAGAAAAGGAACAGGTCTAAATTTCTCTTAGAGGCAGCAGAACATATAACTGATTTTATAATTCTGTAAAAATATCAGCACATCCCCTGTAACTAATAGGATAATGTTTGAATTTCTTGCAATAGTATTTAAGGCCATTTCCATTTTCCAGCTCTCATCATTTTGCATTTCTTCTCACAGTTCAACAGCAATGGATTATTTACCATTATCACCCAAGTTCATTTTCTTAACTCTCTTCATTTGCTTATGTTGCTCCCTCTCCCTCAAGTGTCTACAGTGTAAATCCTGCAAAGTAGCAAAATTCTACTTAGTCTTCAAAGTCCAGTTTCTATGTATGTTACTTCCTCTGTGAAGGATTAGTGTTCATGTAAGAGAATTAGTGTTCCATTTCCCTATGCTGAAGCACTTCATATTTATTTCTATTAGGAACTTTATCACATTTCATTGTGCATGTGTGCATGCTGTCCATCTTTACTGAAGACTGAGAACTTTTTGATGCAAGATGTACCATATTGTAATAATACTTATTTTATTCTTCAGTGATTGTCATCATGCTTTGTGTAGCGTAGACTCTTGCTAAGGTATGTTTAAAGGATAAATGAATGAGTGTGAAAGAAATACTAAATTATTTTAGGGAAATTGCTGATGCTTTCTCTGGTACCATGAAATTTACTTTAATTTCTGAGATCTTTGTGTTAAAATATTTATCTTGCATTGAGAGGTAGAATATCCAGAATGTTTAATATGAGAATGAACTGGTCTCGTTTGTACATGTCTACTACTTTGCATTATTTCATATGTTATTTGGTGTTCATATTCCTCACCAAAAATGTTTCTTTTCCTTACAGTCTATTTCCTTAGAATTCTATGAAATAAAGGAAATAAAGTTTTCTTATGGAAATTAAATCTATTTCTTATCAATATAGTTTGATGAGATTATCAAATGCTTACTCTTAATTCTTAATCTATAATTTACATTTTTATTATTTAAGAAATGCCATGATTTATATCTAATCTGTATCACATTTCATTGAGAAAGTAATTGATGTTGCTCTTTTGTTTCAGCTAAACCATTTACTTCTAAAGTGAAACAAATGCGATTACATAGAGAAGACTTTGAAATATTAAAGGTGATTGGTCGAGGAGCTTTTGGAGAGGTAAGAGGTAAAGATTTTATAGTAGGTTTACTAATTTCTTTGGGAGCTGTTTTATACAGCCTGTGAGATAATTTAACTGAAATATTTACTTGCTGTTATATGATACTGATATAACTGATCAGAAAATACCTCACAATTTTGAATGAGATACTTCTACCTGGAATTTTTTTCCAAGATATTTCTTTTTTTCATATGTCAACATAAGTTTGAGTATACTTCTGGGCTCTCTTGTTCCTTTGGTTTCTCCTTGTGTTAGTACCAAACTGTCTTAAATTACTCTGGTTTAAGAAGTCTTGATATATGGTAGTCTGTATACTCCATTTACTCCAATTTCTTCCCTCTCCTCTGTTCTTGGTCCCTTATATTTTCATATAATTTTAGAATCTGTTACTCTTAAAAATCCACACTCACATATATGCTGAAATTTTTATAAGGATTGCACTGAAACTAGAGATCTGTAGATAATTGACATTAACAATATGAAGTCAGCCAATCCGTGAACATTACATTCCACCATTTATTTAGGGCTTTATGGATTTATCTCACTAATGTTTTGTAGTTTTCATTCAATACAGACAGCTTATGCATCTTCTAGCAGATTTATTCCTGGATATATGATAGTCTTTCTTATTTCAATTAGAATTTTTTGTTAAAGTTTATTTTCTAATTATTTTTCTGCTAGAACTTAGAATTGAATTTTGTTTATTGACCTCATACCGAACAACCGTGATAATATTACTTTTACAATCATGAATTGTGTTGGATTTTAATAAAATGCTTTATCAGCATCAAGACACATGGCTTTTCTCCTGTTGTCTGTTAATGTGTTGTATTAATGGGAATATAGTCAATTGGCATTTAATGTAATTACACTACTTAATACTATTTATTTTGTATTTGTTTTGCCCATCCTGTATTGTGTTTCTCTCATTTCCTGGATTAATGGATTATTTAAAATTATTCTTTCTTCTATTAATTTCTTAGTTTTACCTTCTTGTATTGGTTCCCCATGAAATTGCCACATGTATCCTTGGTAAATTTGTATTTTGCTGATTGCCATTTACCTAACTTCTACATTTTTTTGCTCATTGCTGTTGTGTTTTTAGTTTTACACATACTTGATTGTACTGTCCCTATTAATTTAGATTTACCCATATATTTACATTTTCACATTTCACAGCCTTTTTTACACTCATATAATTCCCTTTGATACCACTTTTTTTTCTTTTTTTTTTCTTTTGGAGTAATTAATCTACAATTACATGAGGAACATTATGTTTACTGGACTCCCCCATCACCAAGTCTCCCCGACAAACCCCATTGTAGTCACTGTCCATCAACGTAGTAAGATGCTGTAGAATCACTATTTTTCTTCTCTTTGTTGCACAGCCCTTCCCCGTGCCTCCCCGCACATTGTACATGCTAATCATAAGGCCCCCTTTCTTCTCCCCCACACTGCTTCTCCCTCCATTCCCACCCATCCTCCCCAGTCCCTTTCCCTTAGGTAACTGTTAGTCCATTCTTGGGTTCTGTGTTTCTGCTGTTGTTTTGTTCCTTCAGTTTTTTCTTTGTTCTTATATTCCACATATGAGTGAAATCATTTGGTATTTGTCTTTCTTCGCCTGGCTTATTTCACTTAGCATAATGCCCTCTAGCTCCATCCATGTTGTTGCAAATGGTAGGATTTGTTTTCTTCTTATGGCTGAATAATATTCCATTGTGTATATGTACCACATCTTCTTTATCCATTCATCTTCTGATGGACACTTAGGTTGCTTCCATTTCTTGGCTATTGTAAATAGTGTTGCGATAAACATAGGGGTGCATATGTCTTTTTGAAACTGGGCTGCTGCATTCTTAGAGTAAATTCTTAGGAGTGGAATTCCTGGGTCAAATGATATTTCTATTTTGAGCTTTTTGAGGAACCTCTATACTGCTTTCCACAATGGTTGAACTAGTTTACATTCCCCCCAACAGTGTAGGAGGTTCCCGTTTCTCCACCACCTCACCAACATTTGTTGTTGTTTTTCTTTTTGATGGTGGCTATCCTTACTGGTGTGAGGTGATATCTCATTGTGGTTTTAATTTGCATTTTTCTGATGTCTAGCGATGTAGAGCATCTGTTTATGTGTCTGTTGGCCATCTGAATTTCTTTGGAGAACTGTCTGTTCAGCTCCTCTGCCCATTTTTTTTTTTTTTTTTTTTTTTTTTTTTTTTTTTTTTTTTTTTGTTGAATAATAAAGAATAATCTCAATACCGAAACATAAATATTCAGAAGTTCAAGTATAATATCTTGACAAAAGTATGATATAGTCACAAAATTTCCTACATGCTCATCATTTATCATCACTAACTAAATTATTATTATTATTGTTATTATTTTTTTTGAGAGGGCATCTCTCATATTTATTGATATTATTGTTGTTAACAACAATAAAATTCTGTATAGGGGACTCAATGTACAATCATTAATCAACCCCAAGCCTAATTCTCAACAGTCTCCAATCTTCTGAAGCATAATGAACAAGTTTTTACATGGTGAACAAGTTCTTACATGGTGAACAGTGCAAGGGCAGTCATCACAGAAACTTTCAGTTTTGATCATGCATCATGAACTATAAACAATCAGGTCAATTATGATTATTTGTTTGATTTTTATACTTGATTTATATGTGAATCCCACATTTCTCCCTTATTATTATTATTATTTTTTTTAAATAAAATGCTGAAGTGGTAGGTAGATGCAAGATAAAGGTAGAAAACATAGTTTAGTGCTGTAAGAGGGCAAATGTAGATGATCAGGTGTGTGCCTATAGACTAAGTATTAATCCAAGCTAGACAAGGGCAACAAAATATCCATGGATGCAGAAGATTTCTCTCAAAACAGGGGGGTTGAGGTTCTAAGCCTCACCTCTGTTGATCCCCAATTTCTCACCTGATGGCCCCCCTGCGACTGTGCCTGTCTTAGGTTGTTCCTCCCTTGAGGAATCTTACCCATCTCTGGCTAACCAGTCATCTTCCGGGGTCATACAGGGAGATGTAAAGTTGGTAAGTGAGAGAGAAGCCATATTGTTTGAAAAGGTTAGCTTTTTACTTCTTTGCAGATTTATGCCCTGTGGCTTCTATGCCCAGCATTTGTCTTGAGGTATCTTTACCACTTGGAAGAATTTCTGCCCATTTTTTAATTGGATTTTTTGCTTTTTGTTTGTTGAGGTGCATGAGCTCTTAATGTATTTTGGATGTCAGCCCTTTATCGGATCTGTCATTTATGAATATATTCTCCCATACTGTAGGATGCCTTTTTGTTCTATTGATGGTGGCCTTTACTGTACAGAAGCTTTTAAGTTTGATATAGTCCCACTTGTTCATTTGTGCTTTTGTTTCCCTTGCCCAGGGAGATATGTTCATGAAGATGTCACTCATGTTTATGACAAAGAGATTTTTGCCTATGTTTTTTTCTGAGAGTTTTATGGTTTCATGATTTACATTCAGGTCTTTGATCCATTTTGAATTTACTTTTGTGTATGGGGTTGGACAATGGTCCAGTTTCATTCTCTTACATGTAGCTGTCCAGTTTTGCCAGCACCATCTGTTGAAGAGACTGTCATTTTCCCATTGTATGGCCATGGTTCCTTTATCATATATTAATTGACCGTATATGTTTGGGTTAATATTTGGACTCTCTATTCTGTTCCACTGGTCTGTGGCTCTGTTCTTGTGCCAATACCAAATTGTCTTGATTACTGTGGCTTTGTAGTACAGCTTGAAGTTGGGAAGTGAGATGGCCCCCTGCTTTATTCTTCCTTCTCAGGATTGCTTTGGCTATTTGGGGTCTTTTGTAGTTCCATATGAATTTTAAAAGTATTTGTTCCAGTTTGTTGAAGAATGTTGTTTGTTTTTTTATAGGCATTGCATTGAATCTGTAGATTGCTTTGGGCAGGATGGCCATTTTGACAATATTAATTCTTCCTAGCCAAGAGCATGGGATGAGTTTCCATTTGTTAATGTCCTCTTTAATTTCTCTTAAGAGTGTCTTGTAGTTTTCAGGGTATAGGTCTTTCACTTCCTTGGTTAGGTTTATTCCTAGGTATTTTATTCTTTTTGATACAATTGTGAATGAAATTGTTTTCCTGATTTCTCTTTCTGTAAATTCCTTGGTAGTATATAGGAAAGCAACAGATTTCTGTGTATTAATTTTGTGTCCTGCAACTTTGCTGAATTCAGATATTAGTTCTAGTAGTTTTGGAGTGGATTCTTTAGGGTTTTTTATGTACAATATCATGTCATCTGCAAATAGTGACAGTTTGATTTCTTTACCAATCTGGATGCCATGTATTTCTTTGTTTTGTCTGATTGCTGTGGCTAGGACCTCCAGTACTATATTGAATAACATTTGTCAGAGTGGGCATCCCTGTCTTGTTCCTGATCGCAGAGGAAAAGCTTTCAGCTTCTCGCTGTTAAGTATGATGTTAGCTGTGGGTTTGTCATATATGGCCTTGATTATGTTGAGGTACTTGCCCTGTATACCCATTTCATTGAAATTTTTTATCATGAATATATGTTGAATTTTGTCAAATGCTTTTTCAGCATCTATGGAAATGATCATGTGGTTTCTGTCCTTTTTGTTGATGTGGTGGATGATGTTTATGGATTTTTCGAATGTTGTACCATCCTTACATCCCTGAGATGAATCCCACTTGATCATGGTGTATGATCCTCTTGATATATTTTTGAATTCACTTTGCTAATATTTTTTTGAGTATTTTTACGTCTGTGTTCATCAGGGATATTGGTCTGTAATTTTCTTTTTTTGTGTGGTCTTTGCCTGGTTTTGGTATTAGAGTGATGCTGGCTTCATAGAATGAGTTTGAAAGTATTCCCTCCTCTTCTAATTTTTGGAAAACTTTAAGGAGAATGGGTTTTATGTCTTGTCTAAATGTCTGAAATTATATGGTGCATCCATCTTGCCTGGGTGGTTTTGTTCTTGGGTAGTTTTTTGA